TAACTCCCATGAGTGATCAAGGCAGAATTTCTCCTCACATTATCACTACAATATCAAATAGAAAAGTGATGAGAAAAATGAAAAATATCAATTAGGGATGATTGGTTGATCCAATAACAAATTCTCTCAACTAACATAAAGACAATTGTATGGCTGACAGAAAAGAGAATTAACAATGACATCTTGGGGGTGAAATGGTTAGGGATCGATGACATTGTGGAGTGACTGATCAAATCTAATTGGAGACTTTTTTATTACTTTTCATGTTAGGATGAATAGGTTTGGTTTTAAATAAACCAGCCCTGGTTTTATTTTCAAATTCAAATTTTTATTTAAGGTTCCATGCATTATTTTCTTTCTAAAGATGCTTTAAGAAAGTTTATTTACTACTGGACACTTAATATATATAGTTTTTCCACAATCATAATATATTAGTAAATATTTCATCTGCATGAGAAACAGGGGTTTTAAGTATGTTTATTGGACTTAAACAATTTTAGAAGTTGAAACTGTTCAAATATGTTAATTGTAAAACAAACCTTCCCAACCACAGTTAGACTGTATATATTTGTTTAAGTTGATGGTCAACTTTGTTAAGTTAAATTCTTCCACTGCCTTTTTGTGATACTAATAAAGGATGTGTCACATATATCTGGTGTAATTGTTGAGTTTAAGTTTCATAATTTATCTGTTCATTTTCTTATCTTGACTAACTCTCAAAATGGGTAGCTACAGGTGGTCAAGAACCCACAAGAACTGTTTGAATTAGCCTTAACAAGGCTCTTAGAATGACATTTAGGAGGAAAGATAAGGAGGTCCTTCCTTTCCTGTCCTTAGTGTCCCCTCATTTTTCCTCTTAGTTTCCCAACTGTTTCTCATCCTCAGAAGCTGACTTCTGGAATAGGCAACAGTTATAAAACCTGTATTCCATCAAAAAAATGTTTGAAGAGTACCAGTAAACAAAAATTATTTTCATAAAATTCTGTCTCCATTGTGTTTAAAGAATAACAATAATTGAGATGATTTGGAATTTAAGATTTCGAGCCAAATTTCTGAGCCAGGGACTTGAAATTTTAAATTTGCCAATAGTAATGTTTTGAAGCTAAAATGTAAACTGCAAAGTCATAGTATGTATTCAGACTTGATCTTCTAAATAATTGATGTGACTTTTATGTGCAGTCAGCAAATACCTCAAGAAAGGGCTTGAAATTCCCATCCCCCCTTGCATTATGATCATCAAGGATGGCAAAAGAAATGTGCTTGTATCTATTGGCAAATATGCCTTCGGACAATACATCCTTGAAAAGCTGGGCCATGTGACTTGCAGGATTTCTAAATGCTCCACAGCCAAGAGCTGAGAGAACCAGTGAGTCATGACCATAATACAGACCAGCTGACAACAAGCAACGTATCTTCCGTTTTGTGTTCTCAGCAATCAATGGAATGAGTTTCTTCTTGTCTTTTGTTAGGGTGGGATTGGGGTATGCTGGTAGGGCCAAAAAGGACATTGGAACAGGGTTGGCAAGAAATTTATATCCTTCAGCTTCAGATGCTCTTATGATGAACACATTTTTTGAGTAGATGCATGAGAACTCTGGAATTCTGTATTTCCATTCTCTTGAGGGATCAAATTTTTTTTCTGGGTCTGCTAAATGTTGCACATAATTTGTACGACGGAACAAGTTCTCCTCCTGTGCGCCTGCTCCTGATAAGTAACCTCCCCCTAAAGATGCAAACAAACAAAGAGAATAAGAAAGGCTATGTAAATATAGTGATGCACCTACATGTGTGTAGGATAAAAATACATTTACTAGGTTAAGTTTCAAGAATAAAGGGGTAAGTTTCTAAAGAAACTGTGGTGCTGCGTCGGTGGGAGAGTAACAACTGGGTTGAAAACGTAAATTAGCCACCGCAATGGGTAAAAAAGCTGACGTTTCGAGCGTTAGCCCTTCGTCAGAGCGATTAGAATCGCTCTGACGAAGGGAAGGGCTGAAGGATATAAATTTCTTGCCAACCCTGACGAATGGCTCTGATGAAGGGCTAACGCTTGAAACGTCAGCTTTTTTACCCTTTACGGTGGCTAATTTACGTTTTCAACCCAGTTGTTAACACTAAATTACCTGCTAAGTTTCAAGAAACCTCCCCCACTCTTGACATAGGGAGACAGATTGTGAAAAAAACTATGATTGTGTGTGGAGAGGGGGTAAGTGGTGTACTCTAAAGTGTGAATGACAGGGGTGAGTATCTTACCATTCATGGATCAATCTGTTGATAAATCAATGTTTGCTAACGGCAATCAGAATTTGTATCCAATTGATACAAAACTGGTCAAGGGATTATTCGTCAATACAATGTATTTCGATAGCTGATATATATCTTAAACATAACCATTACCACACTTGACCTAGAAGTAATTTTTCCACTCACCCGGTCTTTTTGGTGAAGCCATGTTCAGGACAGCTGGGTTAAATCCCTTATTCTTCAAGAGGATGGCTTCCTCGAGACAATCTGCATTGACGACTATAACCTCGGTTTTAAAACAACTATCCTCATCTCCCTTTACATGTCTTCCTGGGGGTTCTTCATCAGTGTAAAGCGTAGTTTCTCTTGCATCTCTCGAGACACTTTCGTAATTTGAAAAAACGACCTCGGAGCCGTCTTCCAAAGTGTATTTGAAGCTTTCACATGCTTTGAGGGTTTGTTGCATTATTTCCGATCTAAGTTCTCTAAAATTTTTGGAAGATCGGAATTCTGAAAGCCATGCCTTGTGGTCAAAAATAACTCCACCTGCTCGCTTTGAGGCCATGTCGATACGATGATGATGAGTTCTGTTTATAGCTGATGCAGTTTTTGTATTTATATACCATATATGCTTCTTAGTTGCATCTAATCCCTTCTTGCCTGTGCAATCGTAGACGTCCTAATCAACTAGGCGTTCCATGCATTTTGATCAGCTGGTTAGCTTATTAGACCCAGGACTTCCAAGAAGCGAGTCGCACGGACGTTGGTGGCCATTTTGAGCAGAAACCTCTTCCTTCAACCTCAACATGGTAAAGTAAACCGTGTCCGTGGCGTGGATCGTTGGTTTTATTGCATAAATTCTTGAAAATTTCTGTTCTGATCTGATCTTATTTACATCAGGGTAAAATGAAGAAGACGAAGAAGTTTGCTGCGGTGAAACGAATGATTTCACCGAAGGATATGAGAATGTAATTATTTATACCATGTGTGTTTCAACTCTGTTTAATCGGACGACATCTGTGCTTACAGTTTCTATGCTGAGTGTCTACTCATGGCTTACTTGGATTTGATATCATTTTTGTCCTAGAAAAGAAAATCAAGAAAAAGAAATAGCGAAAAGGAAGAAGAAAGAAGACGAGCAAACTCGCCACGTGTATGTAGATTATATATCAGAAGTAAATGATCGGTTTGAACTCAAGGGTTACATTCAGTCGTAAAGTTTCCTTTCTTGTTCGAGGGAAGTCCTGAGAAAAACTGTGGTCTGTGATAGAGACTGATTTTTAGACATAGTTAGTCGAGTGGATGACATCGTAGGAATCTTCATTCAAACAGCTGTTCAGTTGGTTGTTTTGTCTGAACAACACTAACCTTGAAATGAACTGCACGTCACCGTATGATTTACCGTAGTCAAAAAGTCAGTCACTGTTCCCAATAGCAATCTCTTTAAGGACTGCTTTACATATAGCTATAGGGTCTAGGTATTAGTTTCTTATAATTATACTTTAATCTTTGATTTGTTTGTTGACCCTTTACACCCAAATATCAGTACGCATATTCTCCTTACTGTTTTTTATACTTTTTCTAAGGTGCTAATAAGAAGAATTTTGTATCATTGGTGATAGTTTCAGTTATTCTCATGAACCTAAAGGTGTGATTCAGGGGTGATCTTTTAAGGATAAATTAAATGTCAATCCCTCTTGTACCATTTCATGAACATTGATATGGATCAATCAATCAATTAGTAGAATGCAATTTACAGTAGTTTTTTGTTCTTCCTTTCTGTGACAGGGAACAATCATCATCTGCCTTGTTCTTTCAATACAACACTCAACTTGGGCCTCCATATTATATACTGGTGGACACTAATTTTATAAACTTCTCCATAAAGAATAAACTGGAGATTGTGAAGTCTATGATGGATTGTCTATATGCAAAATGTAAGTCAACAGTCCCTTCATTCCTTGAATGGGAACAATAGAAAAGGAACAATGTTTTCTTGTCCATGAAAAAAAAAAAACAACAACAACACTATAGTCCCTCTACTCTAGAAGCAAAAGTAATAGAAAATATAGATCAAGATCACAGTTGGTGAAGGCAATCAACTTCTAGCATCAGTTTGAAAGGGTTGAAAAGTGAAAAGGATGGGTAGCAACCACAGCTATATTGGTTCCTTTTCTTGGATTCTGCTGTTAGCAGCTTGGAGTCTCTAGCTTTCAGCAGAGATTTCATTTTTTGTCAGGTTTCAGTCAAAGCAAATGCTGTGTGTTAGAAGACAGTCTAAATTTGTTAATACAGCTTTACTGCTTTTATATTTCAATTTTCATCATTGTTTGATTTTGGTAAAGAAGAGTTCTGTGAAGTTTGGAAGCTATATGCATGTAACAAAAGGTTTGTAAGCTGGACATGAAGGGAAAAAAAATGAAATTCCATACTATAAAATGAACTTACAAAACGTGTGTGGCTGTACATTGTATAAGGACAATGATGATGATTTGCACTGGGTTATGAGTCAATGATTCCTTTGCATCACTGAATTGATTGATGTACTTGTACATGTGCAGTTTTCAAATGTATCTCATTTTCCTCTTTGATTGTAAGTAACATGCTCTTATATCATACCTGTTCAATTGTGTCAGAGAGAAACACTGTACATGTATATCCACCATTTATTTGACTTTGTACATTTTCCCTCACAGCATATTGGAATGTTATGATATAGATTGTATTTTTTAAATTTTATTCAGGTGTTCCATGCATTACTGACTGTGTAATGGCAGAGTTAGAAAAACTGGGTCCAAAGTATAGAGTGGCACTTAGGTAAAGTTACATTGTTTCTGACATCTACGTGAATGTTGTTGTTTCATAATCCATGAGTAATTCCCCCTTTTCAGCAATATCATATGCATGAGTTGAAAAAAGACTTGGTGAAAGACAACAAAATGGATGTAAGTGGGTTGTTCTGAACTCTGGGAGTGAGGTGCACAAAGAGTAATCCTGTGTGTTGCACTAAGATCAAATTTTTCTTGCTGATTTGTTCTTATCACTTGTGTGACAGACTCTGCCAAAAAGGGGATTGCCCATAGTTTAGTGGTCTCATGCACACTGTTGTATTCTTTCTGTAACTCTTAAGCTTTTTATTTTAAAAAATAAATTCAAGGGACAACTCATTCCAACAACAGCACCCAGAATTCCATTCCAAAGTTCCATCTGTAATTCCAATTCCAGGAAAAAAAAGTGATATATAAAAAGTTGTCACATCTGTTGTGCAAATATGCCAACAGTTTCAAAGAAAACAATATGTAATACCAAATAGTATGTGCCATACATTTATACGTGTCTTTACCCTGGCAATTATAAGAATATTATTTGTGCTTCTATCCAGGCAACTAAAACAAAAAATGACTTTTGTTTTCCCCAGAATGGCCAAGGATCCTCGTTTTGAACGCTTGCCTTGTATGCACAAAGGAACTTATGCTGATAACTGTATAGTTAACAGAATACAACAGGTAAGGTTACTTATTCCTTATTTGTTTTAATTTCAACATATCTTGGACTTGTTTTCTTTTTCAAGGCTGTATTGCTCATGAAAAGGTAGTTTTTGGTCTTCTATTGTTACTTCCTGTGGCAAAGACTTGACCATCTTAGGATGTCATTTTGGAAAGTTAAAGTCAATATTGGTAATAATGATGATTTGCACTGGGTTATGAATACAATGATTCCTTTTGCATCACTGAATTACCATGGAGAATCATCATTTTCAAGTTAATATGCACTTGCTGGACATCATGTATTTGCATCATGTATTAGCCTAAATGAAGTTTGTCTAAGGTTCCTTGATTGTTTGTACAGGGTGTACATTTGACAATGATTTAACCTTTTGTCTACCAAGATGTACATGTGCGTTTTAAATATCAATCCTCTGCCCTGCCTTGGAAATTTTTGTTCTGATAGTTAGTTGAATCTTTGTTGCCAATACATTTAAATATAATGCAATCCTGTGGAGAAATTCCTTTTTGATTACTCACAGAAGTAAAGTGCCTTATCTCAAGCTCCTTTATTTCAGTTTTATGCTTGTAACTGAATACCTATAATTTTAAAACAAGCCTGCACTCAATTTATATCAATTTCTCTCAGAGCATGTATATTTAGTATCTTTTGAAACATGATATAATTACTGGTATGATAGGATTACTGAGGAAAGACTTGATTTGGTCTACTATAATTTCACATTTGTTGGAGGATACTTACCGTAAATTGCCCATTCCGTTACATCAAAATTTTTTTTTAGCACAAGTGTTATATTGTGGCCACATGTGACAGAGATCTGAAAAGAAGGATACGCAAGGTTCCAGGGGTCCCCATCATGTACATTTCTCAACACAAGTTAGTCAAATTGTTTTTCGAATATTAATTGCATGTAATTTTTCTTGGTACTTCTTGTACATGTTATAAATGCCTTGTGATAGAAGATTGCAGAATAAGATTGCAGAATGCTAACCTATGGGGGAGAGAAAGTTGGAGAGTTTGCAGCTTTTAGATTGTAAGATGAATGTGCTTGCATCATGCTCATTTGGACATCTTGTGCATATTGTGCCTGTATGTTATTTTATCTTAAAACCAACATTCACATGTGAGTTAAAAAAACCGAGGGGAGGGTTGTAACAAAGATAGAAAATATATGGGCAGCGTGTGCACAGTACGTGAAGAGTTATTGTCAGCTCCCCAAACTGTGAGATTTAATCTAATTTTGTTCAATTTTAGGTACACAATTGAAAGAATGCCTGATGCATATGGAGGTAACATTTGTTCCTTATGATCCTTTAATGCCGTCCCTAAGTGTCTTTAACCAAATGTGATAGGTTGAACGTCTTAAAAAATATGTAACTTGGCGGCTCTGCCCTCTGATCAATTTGAAAGGGATTATTCACGTTGAAATTTTTAAGAACTTATTTGTAATTAGGGCACAGGAAAGATAGTTTGTTATGCTGGAGCTCATCAACATTTTCCTCTTCCATTTCAGCACCAAGAGTATAGGCAGACAGGGTGTTTTGAGTACATTCTCGTGTGGTCTACGAGATGTCACCTCTTTGAAAGACGTGTCGGAATTACAAGTCAGAAAATGTGCGCATTCTGAATAGAGTAAAGGACAGTCACCTACATGTCTGCTATGTTCAAGCAGCTATAAATAATATTGGAGAACCTTAAGTTTGTCTTAAAGAATCGTGCACCATACAATTTGGAAGAGCCTGGTTATCTTCAATCTCTCTTTTTGGGAACATTCATGGCACCCTATTGGCAGCGAATGAAATTGAAATGGGTATTGGTAACTTAGAGTCAAATAAATTACGTTTTGTAGCATGTTTTCTTCTGTGAAAGTTCCATTCATTTAACTTCTTCCGTGACCAGCTGAAGTTCTAGCAATCTCAGAACTCACTTTATTGATTGGACAGAGGTAAAACAAAGTCAGTGTTGTTGGTTACTTTTGAACAAGGAAAGTAAACTTTCAGTTAAAGACCCAATTAATGTTATAGTATTAGTTTTTAAAATAACTTTAGTTTTCTGACAAAAAGATTGCAAACAAAAAAAAGAAAGGAATACGAGATGTTGAAGATCTAATAAAAACAATACAACATTAAAAGGTAAATTTGATTAAAGAGAAAGAAATAAAAACTGGACTTGTCCTATTATAACTCTGTGTATCTAAAACCCCCCCAAAACCCTTTTTTTTTTCGTTATTAAAAAGATCATGCCTTGAAAACTATGTTTCCATTTTGAGTGCACTTTTGTTCATCAATAAGTTGTGCATTTTGGTAGGGTCTTTTCTTTAATTCAAAAGAAGCGGTTCTTTTTTTACTGCTTTTATTGTTATTGGTCATCAAAAGAAACCGAATTTGGAGAAGGACCGTGAAAAATTAAGACATACCGATATGCTCCCGTGTTCTTCTCCATATTTCAGAACTTATAAATAAATTTGTCTTTTTGTGCTCGAGGCTTGAATTTGGCGCCAAAGCAGCGCGCGCTTTTTCACGCGTGATCACCGAGCAGCGTCATGATTGGAGATTTTCCGTTTCCATAGCAACTCCAACTGTCCAGCGCAGATGTCAAGTTTGAACAGCACATCTTCCTAGGAGACACGAAGACAAAAGAACAACAAAAGTATACGCGGAAAAATGTCGGCAGCTGGATTTAAAGCACTTTCTGAGTCTCCAACTGACAGTTTTAAAGATAGCGATCAATTTAGCGTCAAGGTTAAACCTAAGTGCAATTGAATTTAGCGTATTTTTGGAGGGAAATTTTATTAACTCAAATCCACGTTTATTGCTGCGTTTTCATTCAGGCTGATGTATTGACAGAAGAAAACGAAGATGAAGAAGCGGTTGAGGCGAGCGAAGGCAATAATGGATTTTTCATAAAACACGGAACTTTCATGGGAACAGAAAATGAACAAATGGCCTCGCAAGCCTCAGATATGGCTTCCAGTGACAGTGACTACGACACAGACCTCGAAACGGAAGGTAACCGGGAAAAAAAAATCAACATTTTGATATGAAGATGAAGGTCTTATCGGCTCTGGTCTTTAATCATAAGTTCGCTCTCTTAATTGACGGCTCATGCGTAAACAGTATGTCTGTTTATTATTTCTGATTGGGGAGAAGTTTCACATTGAGGTTCAATTTCTGTTTTGATTCTCTTAGCTTTTTAATAACAGATTTTTAATATTTTAAATTGATGGCAAATGAACTTGAAAGGATTTGATTTGCATAAAGTAGAAATTACGAAAGGTCACTGTTGTCAGTAAGAAACGAAAAAAAGTCATTTGCGGTAGTATCACAAAAAATCCGGATGTTTTGGACGAGAAAACACTAAATTTAACACAATCTGAACTTTGATTACGGTAGTTCTGACTGGAAGAAATATTCTAAACATGCTTAAGAAATAATTTGTCCCTCTTCAGTCATTTAAAATTTCCCCGTCGCTCATTTCAAATTAATTTGTTTGAGAGAGAAGAAACAAGATATACACACTAAAATTACATTAAAGCAGAATTACGTTGGAGGTGGCAAATATCACGAAAACCTCGGACAAATAAGAGAGAAAATGCAAAAATAATTTGCATTTGTAAACACTCGAATCTTGCGCCTAATTTAAGGATTTGTTTAAAAAACAAATCCTTTCAAATTTATGCTTTCTAGCAAAATCTCCAATTTGCATAATGCTACATTCGCAACTAGCAAAATATCTTCTTTAGTGATCTGGTTTAGAAAGTCTCTGTAAATGGTTTTATTTGATAGGAAATAGTTTCTCTTCTGTAAAAGTTATGACTTGCTTTTCGTAAAAACGATTTGCTCCATTTTGATGTAAACATACGCTTTCTCGCGGCCTATTTTCCCTTCCTAACGTCATCCTGGAAAAAGAAAGTTAAAAAAGCCGCGAAACCGAAAAGAAATATAGCTTTATGTAAGAAGCAGCTGAAGTGTAATCCATCTTCGGCTGTCTTTTACAGTTTTTTCAGGCACAAAATAGATAATTATCCAGTGAGCGCATTACACAGACTCGGTTAGAGTGTTCCGCAGTATTCCGAACAGTAGATATGAAAGTTCCCGAACCTTACTCTGAAAAAAAAAAAAAAAGCAAATAATAAAGAGAAAAAGAGAGATCAAGATTTTGTTTACGCAAGCTGCGTAAAAACTCTCCCTCAAGAGATATCAGACCTTAAACGGCAAGTACTTGTGTTTTGACTTTTTTGACTCCAGTAAATGTTCATTTCAATCGCATGTAGAATCCTTAGCGGCCGTCAGCCACCAAATTTAATTCCTTAAAGCCCTAAGGCGAGACATCAATTCCGTGTAATAGTTGGAAATTTTATCGCCCTTGACCGACTATAATCAACCCCTCCATGGCCAGCAGTGAGTCTGCACAACAACCTCTGGTCAGTGTTTTCAAATTTGACACGGTACGTATTTTTGAAACTTTACAGAGCAATCAGAGAAGTTCGATACCACCGGCAAAAAGGTCTACCTTGCTGCCTGTAAGTGTTTGGATATAACACCTGTTTCCTTTTTCCTGAAAAATATCCAAGAGAAACGACTCAATTTTAGGCATCGTTTATTGGGAGCCAAAGGAGGACAAGCCCTTGCACTCGCTCTAGAGGTAAAGTATTTAACGTACCGTACTCTTGCGCTTCTTCATCTCTAAACTTTGCTTTTTTTTTCTTATCAAAGATGTTCGATCGCTTGTCGCTGGAATTACACCCTCTTCACGCAGCGCTCTTAAACATGCTCTTAAATTCTAAAACGAAAATCTATCAGTTCCAAAAGGGAAATTCATGAACTCCTTTTACGGCTTTTTGCTCAAAATCTTAGCATACATTGAGTAGGGTAATCTATAGCATGCATGATATTTACCCTCTCTGGTAGAGAACAATCTGTCTGTTACAGAAAAATTCGTCTTTCGTAAAGTACTTTTTGTGTTTCTGAGAGAATAAATTGCCTGCAATCCCAAAGGTACTTATCGCCACAGTATATAGTTTTGGATGTGCTAAAAATTGGATGACTATAATCACCAGGAACCTCTCACTCGGCTGTGACGGTCGGTTATAATTTGTACTCACCTGATGCGCACTGTCCTGTCTGTATCCTGATTTTGCACTATGTGTTTCCTCATAACAATGAGAAATGGACTCATACAGGTGGTTGGCCGATTATAACTCCTGATCATTTCATGCATGTTCCTTTTATGTAGCTCAACACAACCTTAGCCAGTTTGGACCTCCACGAAAACTACTTGGAAGGGGAGGGTGGAGCGGCTATCGCAGCAATGCTCAAAGAAAACTGCTACATCACAGAACTGGTAAGTATATAGAGAAGGTGATCGCATAAGGATATCGGCCTAGCTCACGTTATCGAACTGAAATAATAAAACTGTCTCGCTCTACTCCTCATCCAATCAGTGCGTGTTTTTTATTCCCTTCATTTTCTATATTTCCTTTTTTGGTTAAATGGAGGATAGGGGAGCATTTAATTATAGATGAGGCCTGTTTAAACAATGGCAAGGCCAGACCGCAAAACTGGGGCTTGAACCTTCAATTCTGGTGCTCTACGAATAATATTTGTAATGGCGAAAAGGGAATGTGAAATGTTTCTTTTGTGTATTAGCACAGCGGCGAACATTACAAGGCTTTTTTGATTAATCTAACAAATAAAGATCCATAAATGCCGCGTCTAGACAAAATTGAACCTAAAATAAAGTAAATGTTTGTATTAAAAATGCGTCCTAAGAGGTAAAAATGCGTGATATCTGGCGTATAACATTGTCCCAATGCACACACTTAAAAGCTTGTTTGAGAATTGTCCGAATTGTCGTGTTTAACGAGCCCATCTGCCATTAAGAGACATGCTAATATTCCTCATTTATATCGCTTCTCTTAGTTCTTTGTAGGATTTATTTCCTTCATTCTTGACAGGAAACGTTCTATTGCACTTACAGTCAGACAAACTTCCTCACCCTCCTCCCCCCCTTCAACACGGTATTTAAAGACTCTCTACACCAACAATTTATGTCAATAATAATATCACTATTTGGAAGGCTGGAACAGGAATGTCAGGCAAATCTGTGAGTGTATTTTTGCATTCACGGCTCCAATATTATGTACAAATATGACCGGAATGTTAGTTTCCATCAGAAGCCCGAATATTTCTGGTGTAAGCAACTTCTATTTCAGGGTCCCGGAGTAAGCGATAAAACTTGATTGGTTCCCCGTTTGCGTTGCGTGATCGGAAGCTCTTTTTACAGAAGGCCAAGTGGCAAAACCGCTTGACCATGGTGATCCCAACGTTTTGACGCTACTTTTTTACGTGGCCGCCATGTTTGTTCAGCTGTCCCCTCAAGGCGCTGAGCTAGAACCCAGACCTCCCGGTATAAATGTTCCTTATTGGTTGATTGAGTTGATTAAGTGATTATTAAAGTGATTTACCCCCAACTCTCTCGATGGGTCAGCTTCATGTTATCCATTTGCCGATTGATCGATTAATTAATTTATTGACTCAGAAACTGATCGTGCGATTTACTGACAGACTGACAAACCCGTTTACTGGTTGATTAATTGATTGATTGACTAATTTAGAGATTTATTTAATTATCAGTTAGCTAACTAATCAAACGACTGATTGATGTTTCTATTCATTTATGTCAAATTAAAGGATATATCTTCAAACAAGCTTGGTGCTCATGGCTGCATGTCGATGTGTGATATGCTACAGAATAACGTCAGCTTACTCAAAATTGATCTATCAGACAACGGTTTTAGTGACAAGGATACTGTTTCTTTGCTTGACGCTTTCAAGGTAAGCTGGAAACTCTTTAATCATGTATCCAAAAGAAATTAATGCAAGACCTGCCAAAAGCATAGCAGTAGTCGGGCTTTCTTTTCGCCAGTAATTGAACCATCAGTTTTAATTCAATCATTGTTTTTATCCCAGGGAAACGACAAGGTCGCCTGGATGAACCTGAGTCACAACAAGTTCTCGGAGAGGTCTGGGGAAAATCTGGGTCTAGGAATAAGTATGAACCACAGTTACGCAGCTATTCCATATTTACTTTTTTCTAACAACTTCTTGCGATAATATTGTTTTCCTTTAGGGTTGATAATATTCCCTTATTGGCTAAAAAAAGCAAAGAAGTCTTCTCTTCAATTTCACCTAGAACGCTTTTAGGTGAAAAAATTGCCTTGATAGACTTAGACAAAACGTCGCAAAAAATTAGTAACTTCGATGAACAGAGATATATTTAGGATTTTTCGTATTCTCTTATCCTAAATCGTGAGTTGTTTCAACATAGATATAGAGTGAGATCTATATCAGCACAGTAATACAGCTTTTAAAAGAATACTCGCAGTACTCAACTGAGCGTATGACATGGTGGCCTAATGGCTAATTGACTCTTAGTGACTGATTATGGGACAAAAAAATAAACTATGTATTTAAATTCTGGCTCCGTCACTCTGTTGTGTTCAAAGCTAATCTTGACAGCCTAGTCTTCACAACCCAATGAGGTCTAATACAAGAATCCTAGCTAATTTTCAATGCAATTATATTTACATAATGGCATCAATTTTTTTGTTATAAACGATAAATCAAGAACGAAAGAGGGAGAAGACTTAGTGGAAAACTTAAAAAGAAAAAGAGAAGACTTCTATAAAAATATAAATTACTGTACCTAAGAGATTTTAGTTTTGGAATGATCTCATGCATGTCAAGAAAATAATTTCTCTCTCAAATATCTTAAATAGTGATTTTTATCTTAAATTTGATTGATGGGGGAAATCCAACCAAAGGCAATGGCTAACCTTTCGATGCCAGAACTGACATCCTATCAAGGGTGGAGTAGCACTACTCCTAGTCGGGTCATACTAATGAAACCGTGATTGCACAGTATTTCAACTTTACAGCTTGTGATTTTACTTACCCCTCAAGCATATTTCACTTTTTCCTTTAGGTTTTAACGACGCGATGGAATATCTCGACTTAAGTTGGAACCACATTCGACGTAAAGGCGCCGTTGAAATCGCGAATGGGCTCCGGGTAAGAATGAGTTTTTGGCGAAAACAACACTGACGAGAACAAGGACGCAAATGAATATTTTGCACTCACTAATAGTGTCATGGGCTTTTTTTCAGACGAATTGCACTCTAAAAACATTGAATTTATCGTATAATGGTTTTTCCAATGATGGAGCTGTTGCTTTGGGTGAAGCATTAAGAGCGAATAATACGTTGATTGAGTTGGACATCAGGTAGGTGAATGTAACCTTTACAGCCAGTGATTCACGAAAATTAAGAGCCGACTAAGATTGAACTTAATGGATCGTTTGGCAATGAAGCTCCAGGCATCAAAATCTTGTCAACTTTTACTTAACTTGTTACACTTAGTTTAAATGTATTTATACAATTATAATCAGGTTAGATAAGAATTTTAGACTCATAATTGTGAAATTTCAAGTTTTTTTTTTAAATATGAATTTAAAGATATAAAGTAAGGCACAATTGAAAGAAACTGAGCGCCATTTGTCTTAGTCATTTATGTCTGTTTCACATGCGTTCTGTGACAGTTCTACTATTGTCGTTAACTAGCAATAACCGAATTACAAACCAAGGTGCTTTGTGCATTGCTAAAGGACTGGAAGGAAACAACACTGTAGAGATAGTAAAGGTAATTTACCTCAATTCAAATTAATTACATACTTATCTGGGCGGATCCAGGATTTACTGAAGGGGGATTCGGATAAACATCTGCTGAAAGCAGACTATCCAAGAAGGTCGAGGGACATGTCTCTCCGGGAAAACTTTGACAACTAGTCCTCGGAAAGGTGATCTCCAAGCATTTTGACGTATAATTATGGGCTGTTTCCTACCTTTGAACACAATTTATGTTTATGACTCTTTCAAACATCCACTATTTCCGCCAACTCTTTCCTCAGAAACCGCACGTGTTGAAACGTATAGGGGTTCGGCTGAACCATCCGGTTTCTGACAGTTCCAGGTCGTTTTCTGTCATCTACGTTTACTTAACTTTACCTCCCCAATAGCCTTGTACATGGGCCCATCACTTGAATAAATTTCCTCTTCGTTCCCCTCGGGGAGAAAGGTAGAACGAAAAGCGGCTCCAAACAAAACTAGCATAAAAAGTTGAAGATGAGGCTGCCGTCCATCTAAAATTGGGCATCCTTTCGCACCCACTAAGGAGTAACTCTAGAAACGCTAGCCTTTCAAACTTCACCGTTATGGTTTTTCAGTACCCCTATAGATTTGCATTTTATAATTGTCTAATTTTCTAGCTGGAAATGAATTGTCACTCTCCAAAGAATTTTGAAGATCATGCCCTTTGGTCGCTTAAGGTCTTTAAGACAGACTTTGATCCATTGTCCTATCTTCCACATAACATTTTAAATGCTTCTTTGATGGTTCCTGTCTATAATAGTTCCTTACAACATAAAATACTGGCCCTGAACTTAAAAAGTATTTATTAAAATTTATGGGAGTATTATATCAAAAAGTATTCAACCGAAATTAGCAACGCGCAAAGCCAAAGCAAGAATGGAGACCTCTCAGCTTATTCCGGAGGGCTCGTTTACAGGTCAGTTCTCTGTTTCCCAATTTATTTCCTACAGATTGGTGGCAATCCCATCGGAGCTTCGGGCGCCATGGCTATAACATCAGCTGCGAAAAATTATTCTGACAGTGCTTTGACTGAGCTGCATTTTAAGGTGCTCAAGGTTTCAGATTTTTTAATAAAAATTCCAAAAGTGGAAAGCTACTACATTCGCCATTTAGCGAAGTATTGTTTGTTTACTGCGTACGACTGAGAACTATGAGGTTTAAATTTTATGACAAGTGAGTGTGTGCATATAGAGCACGTAAAGTAATAGTGTAAGAATTTAAAATTGGATTTCTCTTTCTATTTGAAGAATTGATTTCTTAATCGTAGATGACTTAGTTTAATGAGAACGACTCTGATTTCCACTTGAGAATAATCTTTGCTCACAGAGTTTACATACTTTGTATCTCACCTTAAC